CTGTCTATAATTCCAGCTCCAGGGAAATTCAACATCTCTGGCTGCCATGGGCACCTGCACTCATATGCACATAACCACACAGACACATACACGCATACACAGAATTTTAAAAAGGCACAACTTCACCTGAATGTTTATTGTCTGTATTACTTACAAAAACAATACTACAGGATGCTAATCTCCCTTTAGAAATCTAGTCCCAAGCTCCTTTCCAGGTTATAAACTCACCACTATGTACCTAAGGTGCCTTATGTTTTCAAGCCTTGGTTTCTTCAACGCAGCCACCCATTTTCAAGGTCTTTCCCTTTTTATTTCTAGCTGATGAAGTCATACTTATATTTGCATAGCATCTGCTTTCACCAGTGAATACTCATTCCTTGGCAGCAAAGAAATTTTATTAATTCAGCATACCTCAACCATTTGTTCATTCACCAAATACTTACTGAGACATAGGTACTGTGCTAGGCACTAGGGAAACAAAGGCAAAGGATACTGGCCTGTGCTCTTTAACAAGGGGATAGCCTGGTTAGGGACACGGTCGTACAAAGGGTGACAGGTGAACTTCAATAAAGTGTGACGGTTGCAATAAGCGGAGCAGTGGCTCTAGTGCCTGGTTGTGTCAGAATTCCAAAGGTTAACCTTTTTTCAAAATATTGATGCCTGGTTCCATCACTGGAGATTCTAGTTTGATTATTCAATGATGTATTTTTAAAGCTCCTTAGTATGTATGTGAAGCAAGTGTTCCAAACCTCTGGGACAAATGTGAACACAGACGTCTGTCTACAGGGCATGTGAGACACACACAGTTGTTCTATATCTTGTCTTCTTCCTTCCTGAATCTGCTCAGAAGACACCCCTTTTTTCATGTGACTTAGGAGACATTGTCTTACCCCAAATTAAGGGCGTGTTCTGATTATTCTTTCTTGTGATTTGCTTAGAGACAGAAACAGGAACTCACCCTCAACAAGACGGGAGGTGAGGGAAGCTGACCATGGGAAGCTGGGAAATTTCCTAATTACAAGAAAGACTCACCGGGATGATGTGCTTTCTGCAGGTGGGTACTCCAGTGTCTGGCTGCAACATCTGGAACTGCAGTGACTATATCCTAACTATGAAGGGACCCACCCTGAGGCAGAACTGAGATCCAGAAAGGTGCTGGGCTCTGGGTAACACTACTATCTACAACCTTGATGCTAATTCATCATTGCTATTCTTTAAAAAACCCTCTTTGCGTGTGTGTGTGTGTGTGTGTGTGTGTGTGTGTGTGTGTGTGTGTGTTAGGTGTATATGTTGTATGTATATATTTGTGTGTAGGTGCCTGTGCCTGCCAGTGCCAGAGGAAGCCGTCCGGCATCCTGCTCTATCACTCTCCATCTTATTTTGGTGAGACAGGGATCTTTCACTGAACCCAGAGTCACGCTGGCAGTAATCTTCCTTTCTTGGCCTCACCGTATCACTGGGGGTTATAGGCATGTGTGGCTACAACTGGCTTTTTACATGAATGCTGGGATTTGAACTCAGGTCCTCATATTTACACGGCAAGTGCTCTTATCACTGGGCCATTTTTCCAGCCCATCTTTGTATTTCTTGATATATGAAATAGTAAATTTTGTAACAGTTTATGCTACTTTGAGTCAGAATTCTGTCTACCTGCAGCACATGTCAACTCAACCGATATGCAACAAAACCAAACAGATAGGAAAGCAGCCCAGAGAGGGTGAGCTCTGAGGAGATCAGGAGGTGGTCAGGAGGCTGGGGAAATAAGGTAAAAGGCACTGAAATCAAAGTATGAGGCATTCTGGGAATTGTTCATAGGTTGGAAGACTACTGAGAAGAACCGTAGTGGGATGAGGCTGGAGGTGGTAGGTGGGCTGAGGTCCTGAGAAGCCCTGTATGCTGTGATGGATTAAACATGGCCACAAACCCATGAGCACCTAACAGGGTAGGGTTCTGCCAACACACTGTGAATCCTGTTGGTTTTACCCACTGGTTGCTTTGACCAACAGAACCAGTTGCATCAGAAATGATGTGTATTCTAATCCTAGAGTTCTGCCTCCCTTGAATGCAGTTCAGAGCTGCCATCCTGCCATGCTGAAAAGATGTTCCAAGCCTCGGAAGAATGAGGTAGAAGAGAACTGAGGCTCTTTACCAAGAGCTGTCTTGGACCATACAGCTATCATAGCCCATACCTAGCTGCACGTGAGCCTAGCCAATCCACAGAAGCCTAAGTGACACTCACCACTGGTGCAGTGAGCCACGAGATTTAGAGTGTTTGCTATACAGCAACAGGTACCGGACACACAGGCTATACTAGGACATGTCAGACTTTATTCTGAAGACTATTAGGAGTGACCTGGTAAGATTCCTGTGCTAGGGAGCTCGTGTGGGCAGCAGCATGGAGAATGGGTTTGTGTGGCATGGTGTAGAGGTATATGGAAGTACTAGACTGCCACAGTAACAGACTTGAGAAATAATCCAAACCTGAACCCAGACTCACCACAGAAGAAAAACTGACAGAATACTGAATACAGGTTAAAAAGTATGAAGGACATCTGGGTACAAATGCTTGACTGCATAAGACTTAACATATATGACAGAATGCATGAAATCTGGTGTGTGTGTATATGGGGCTATGGGAGAAATGGATGGGAGGAGGGTCTAAATTAGATTAAGAACTATTACATCAAATGCACAAGAACTCAATAAGAAATAATTTTTTAAAAAGAGTATAAAGGAGGAAGACCAATTAAGACTGGCTCACACAGTTCTGGGTTAAGGAAATGAATGACAGCACCATTCACTAAGAGAGAGCTTAGGAGAAGAGTAGGGTTGAAGTCACTATGGAACATCCAAGTGGAGATGTTCATCATATTCAAACAATGTTTGATTATAACTTAATATGGCTATTCTAGGTGGGTAGTGAAGTGCTCTAATCCAAGGTGTCATCTTGATATAGTCTATATGGTATGATGTGAGGAAGCTTCAAAGGCAGGTCAAGTTTTAATATGTGAGCACATTTTGATACTTTATTAAAACAGAAAGGAAGAGTTAAAGTTAAGAACTGATGGAGAAAAGACAATGGAATGAGGCTTGGGATGCAAAAGCTCCTCCAAGGGTGCGTGCATGTGCCGAACCATGTGAGGAACCCTAGCACACAGGATGAGTGTTTTCTTGACCTTAGGTGCTTCTAAGGACTTGGAAGTAAGAAAGAAAATAATTGGAGAGCCAAGATGGTGGCATCATGGCTGCTGGTGCTGGAGCAACAGTGGTGGCAAGGGCTCAAGAGACTGTGGGAGGTCTTAAAACGTGACTCCGGCTGGGCGTGGTGGTGCACGCCTTTAATCCCAGCACTTGGGAGGCAGAGGCAGGCGGATCTTTGTGAGTTCAAGGCCAGCCTGATCTACATAGAGTTCCAGGACAGCTGGGGCTACAGGGAGACCCTGTCTCAAAAAGACCAAAAAAAAAAAAAAGTGACTACGGTAAGAAGATGTCTTATCACCTGCTCCCCCTGGCTATGTGAAAAAGAGGAAGATGTGAAAACAGCAGACACTGAAACAGCCAATCAGATCCTTGACTATGAAAAAGAAAACACTTTATCCATCTGTTTCCTTGAACAAAAGTAAAGTGATTTTCTCTAATATTGATGTCCCTCTAGTAAGAAATTCAAGCCATCAAGTTAACTGCACGGAAGCCAAAATTGTCTTTTATGATCACATGGACAGAGTGAGGGAGACAGGAAAGTAGTAAGAACCAGTGTAACTGAAATTGACCCCTCCTGTGAGCCTGAAACTGTGGTTGTCCCCTATAAGCCTGGAGCTGTGGTCCCCCCTATGAGCTAGAGCTGTGGTTCCCTGCCTCCTATGAGCCAGACTTGTGCTCCCCTCTCATGACCCAGAGTTGTCCTCTCCAGTAAGCCTGGAGCTGTCATTCCCTCCTGTGAACTGGAGCTGGAGCTGTGGTTCCCTGCTATGAGCTGGAGTTGTGGTCTTCTCCTATAAACCTAGAGCTGTGGTCTCTTCCTGTGAGCCTGAGCGGTGGTTCCCTCCTATGAACTGGAGCTGTGGTCCCCTCCCATGGACCTGGAGCTGTGGTCCCCCTCCCCTGAACCTGGAGCTATGGTTCCCTCCTTTGAACCTGTGGTTCCCTCCCGTGAGCCTGAGCTGTGGTTCCCTCCTATGAACCTGAAGCTGTGGTCCCCAACCATGAGCTGGAGCTGTGGTCCCCAACCGTAAGCCACAGTTCCACCTTCCTCTGTGGGCAGTAGTTTTGGCTTCTCTGAGTGGCTGCACTCCCCACAATCCCCTCCCCCAGGTCCCAGGTTGTACATGGCAGTGGCTTTGCCTCTGTGTTGGGTTTATGCTGGAGACAGGGGAAGTTTCTACCATTTGCTGTTTCTTGTCTTGGGAGGACTGATTCTGTAGAATGGACTTCCCACCTCCCTTGATGGCCAGCTATGGTCTTGACTCCACACATGGTCCTGCCCAGGCCTTGATGTTGGACTGTTCCCATTTCCAGGCACTAAGAGGTTTGCCATCATTTTTCTATTACTCTTCTACAGCCCCAGGGTACCTTCATTTGTGCCCCCACAGCAAGTGTATATCACCTAACTGAAGTTCTAGAGATAAAAATCAGTCTGGGAAGTTAATAAAATGTTGACAGATCCACACACTGTTTGGCTTACTTGCATTAGTCTGTAACTTTTGCAGCACACTGATGGTGTACAATGCTCCTACCTAAGGGCACTGCCATTTGTAGTGTATCCATAGGCTAAGTGTAGGGTATAAGTTCTCTCTTTATCCTGTAGGTTCTTTATCTCTCTCCAATCCTGTAGAGCAAGAAGAGGTTTCTATATACTAGAAAGAATAGAAACTGCATGCTACAAAGACCTGAGATTATCTCCAAGTTGCACATTTTGCCAAGTGAGCACAAACTATGATTTACAAGTATAATAAATCACACAGGCTACCAACATTAATATGCACATACAAATACTGACTTACCTTTGATGTTGATTAAAATAGCAAGTAAATGGCTGGGAACCAATCTCATCTTTCCAGTACTGTTGCCAGTTCATGACACTTTCCAAGTTCTTCTGATTTTCTCTCTTACACGGAGGGATATAGGAGCACTAACAAAGAGAACACAGAAAGAAAACCTTTTATTCTGTGGAATATTCAAATAGTCCTTTTTTCCATCAAGTACTTTTTTTTTTTTTTTAAACATTTGTTGAAACTGTAGCCCTGGCTGGCCTGGAACTCATCATATTAGACCAGGCTGGACTTGGATTCAGCTCTGCCTCCTGAGTGCTGGAATTAAAGGTGTGCATCGCCACACCCTGACCTAAGACTTTGTTTTACTATAGAGTCTATGACCTGAGACTGATGGGAAAGAACAGATGTAGCCACAGCTATTGGAGCTGTGGTTCCCTCCCATGAGCCAGAGTTGTGTGTCCCTCCTATGAGCTGGAGCTGTGGTCTCCTCCACAGCTATCCGGAGCTATCCCTTCCTTCAGCTAGGCTAACATGGAGTGTCTTTCCTGGTGGTCATCAAAGTGCTAGTCTTGCTGCTCTGCATTGTGAGTATTCCCGTCACTCCCATTCTGATCTTGAGACAGGAAAAGACGCTCAACAGCACTGAAGCCAACATGTACACGGAGCAAAACATCACAAAACAGTCTTAAAGTGGCTGAAGCACCTCGGCTGGGACTGTTAACGGGGACCCCCAGCCGCTGGGATCTTGCTGTGGTCTTACTGGCTCGGCTTCTAGCCCAATGGTTTTATTTTGCTTTACAAAGATGGGCATTACATAGATTGCAAATCTAACAGATTTAACCTTTAAATACAACCAAATTAACATTGCTCAGCTATATTTCAAAGTTCCAGCTTTCCACAATGATAAAAAAATCTTCAGTAATTAAGAAGTAAGGACATTTCAAAACAATGAGTTACATTCTTATAGCAGACTAAAAGCATAATATACTTTCTCTCTTTGTGGGGAGCTATCAGTCAACACAGGGAGGCAGAAGGAGGGGGGTCCTGTCTGTAGGCCTTTACATTTTCCTCTACTACTTGTTTTTAATATTTTATTTATTATTTTTATTTTATGTGTATGAGTGTGTTGACTGCATGTATGTGAGTGCACCCATGTCGTGCAATGCTGCAGAGGTCAGAAGAGGGCTTCAGATTCCCCTGAAACTGGAGTTAAGGATGGTTCATAGCCGCCATGTGGGTGCTGGAAATCGAACCCGAGTCCTCTGCAAGAGCAGTCAGTGCTCTTAACCATGGAGCCATCTCTCCAGCTCTCCTCTACTACTTTTAAATAACCACTAGCACACAAACCTCTCCTGAGAAACTTGCTCTCAACTACTGAAATTGAAGCTTTCATTTCCTACATTCTTTTGAAGAATGGGACAAGCAGAAATTTCCTCTCAAGTATACAGTGACTGTATTTTGCTAACTGATGGCTCTCCTAGCCATGTAGCTGACAAAGTAGTTCTCTTAAAAGAACTTGATTAAGCAATATAGACTGAGCAACACTGGGAAACTGCTCCTAACTCCAGATGGTAAAGTGAACCTTTACCATTCAAGGCCATTTTTCTCCAACCCAGTCTTTCATGATGATGAAGCTGCCAGCTTCTATTTATTGTTTATAATATGCCTGATACTCCAGTAAAGGCTTAATGGGTCTCAACTGTGTACGTCTTACAACCCTCTCATGATTTCCATTTTACAGATGAGGAAACTGAGCTTCCTGTCAGTTCTGCAACTAGACACTGATGCCTCTATCACACTGTCCCGAGGTGTTTGCCAAGGAATCAGACATTGAGGAACAGGGGGAAAAAGGACATTAGCTTTATAGTATACTTTAAATTCCATTATTTTATTTTTAGTTTTGGCTTGTATGTGTGTACGTGTGTGTGTGTGTGTGTGTGTGTGTGTGTGTGTGTGTGTGTGATGTTGGAGCATAACTCAGGTATCCTTCATCAGGTGTCTTCTGCCTTCTCTTTGAGACAGGGTCTCTCACTGGTTTGGAACTTTGACAGGCTGCTGCACAGTGAGCTCTGGGGATCCATCTGTCTTCACCTTCTCTTTCACTACCACTGGGATTACAAAAGTGCACCACCCTGCCCAGCTTTTTGCATGAGTTCTAGGGATCCAGACTGAGGTCCTCATGCCTGCAAGGTGGGCAACTTTACTGACTGAGCTATCTCCTTACCTTACTTCCTCTTTTTTTTGTCTTTTGAGATGGGATCTTGCTACATAGCCCTGGTTGATCAGGAACTTGAACCTGTGCTATAACACCCTGGTAGCAAGGCAATCGTCCTAAGAGCTGGGATTATAGGTCTGTGCCACTACTCCCAGCTCCATTACTTTATTTACAGCATATAATTTTGCAGTACATCCTTTCCATCACTTTTTTTGTTAAAATTCAAAAATTTTAATCTAATCTCTGCCTATCCCACCCTCACACCATCCTGAGATACAGCCAAACAGAAGCATTTGCCACATGCTGTCACGTTTATCTGTTCCAGCACAGGCTGTTTATGTCCTGCTAATGCTCCCTGTCCTCAGTCACCTTCTTTTAAGACTCAGCTCTGGTGTTAACATGGTTGGAGGAAGCCTCTCTTTTTTGCTACACAATCAAATGCCACTCCTTCGTGCTGCCCCAGGAACCAAACCCATAAAATCACAGCCTGAATCACACAGGGTCACACTTGTCTGTGTCAGCTCCCTAGCTGGCTGCTGCGTTGAGAACAGGAGCTGTTATTTTTCTTTTCTGTATGTTCACCCAGAGGATTATATGAAGTATTAGTCACGGTTCCAAAATGTTGACTGAACGAGTCTATAACATGCACAGATAATTTTATTCAAGATGACAAAGCTACTTCCATAAGTTAACATTTAAAATTCATACGAATACAAACACATTTAAATTGTAGTAAATCTCATTATTTTTTGTCATGAGTAATAAATTCATGCTACACAAACATGACTTTAAGGACTGAATCACTGAATACTCACCCTGTGTAGCTTCTCCTCCATTTTAAAGGTAGAATTAAGGTTTTGTGGGAGATTCTTCTAAAGCTGCATCCGGGCTTAGAAGCCACTGGAACCAGTATATGGGGCTTCGGTTCTATGATCTGTTCAGTGTTTGGTCTTGGGTAAATTACCTTTTTCTGAGCTTCCTTTTTTTCTAGTATGTAAAAGCTCCAGAATTTTTTTTTTTTTTAGCTCTGTGATTTTGATTCTAACTTGGAGGCACACCAAGAACAACCCAGCACAAAGCAAGACTACAACACTGTCACAGTATTTTCCCAAAAGAGATCAGCCCCTGGGGAGATGGCTGGGAATCCTGGCTGACTACCATTCCTGCTAGCATGCTAGCAAAGAGGACCAGAGTGGCAGGTTCCTGCTCTGGGGCTTGTACTTTTTATCAGGAAAAATTTGCAAGAGGACCTTGCTTTTCCTGCTGCTTATGTCATACAACATGTTAGATACTCCTTTCCCTCTGTTAACATTTTCTTTCTACCCAGGATCAGTTGGTGTACGAAGTGAGAGTAGACAAGAAATTCCTAGTCCTGGAGGTAGACTCTACAAAATGTGAACATCTAAGAATTCATCAGAATCCTTTCAACAATGGGCATCCATGATGGTCTGAATGAGAGGTGCCGACCATAGGCTCAAATATCAAAACCCCTGGTATATGGTCCCCAGCTGATGGTGCTATTTGGGGTGGTCATGGAATTCACAGGAGATGTGGCCTTGCTGGAGGAACCATGTCACTGGGAACTGGCTTGAAAGTTCATAGCCTTGTCTCACTTTGAGTTTGCCCCCTCTGCTTCCTGTGTGTTCTTGAAGATGCTGAGTGCTCAGTTTTCTGCTCCAGCTTCCCCAGCATTACGGACTTTCCCTCTGACACTGTAACCTACATAAACTCTCCTTCTATAAGTTGCATTGGTCATGGTATTTTATCACAGCAACAGGAAAATAACATAGCATCACTGATACCAGAGGTACCACAAATATTTTAGGGGATAACCAAATGTACTTAAAGCATACTTAAAATTTGTATAAGTTAACTCAGTTTGAATTTTTTACTATACTACTATTCAGTTTGGGGGAAGAAATAGGTTCAAAAGAAATATCTCCAGAAAGACAACTCTAAGATTTGATCAGGAGCCGGGCATGATGGCTCATACCTTTAATCCTAGCACTCAGGAGGCAGAGGCAGGAGGATCTCTGTGAGTTCAAGGCCAGCCTGCTCTACATAGTGAGCTCCAGGCCAGCTGGGGCTACAGGAAGACCCTGTCTCAAAAAGATGAAAAAAAAAAAAAAAAAAAAAAAAGGTTTGATCAGGAGAATCAAAATCCATGTTTCTGAAAGAACAGAAAACCTTCTCTAAGTTTTATACTAGGTATGCTTGTATTAGGTATGCTGTGGTTTCATGTAGAATGAAAGAAATTCTTCTTGCCTTTAGGAAACTTTGAGCTAATGTGGATGAATTTTTGAAAGCACAATACTTTCTTTTCATACTAGTAAAATAACTTGAAATAAAAATTCAGTATTATTTTCACGGACTGCAGTTTTTCAAAGAGTATCACAGGTTAAATAACAAGCTTATAATACTCTATCAACTTGGTAAAGTTAGTGTCATTTTGAAAGGATAAAATTTAAAAGTCTAAACTTACATTCTTAAAAATCATTATTTTTCATTTTCTCAATCTTGAGTCTCCAGGTTAATTATCTTTAAATACTTTGTGAAACCTATTATCTCAAATCTTTCTGAGATCCTGTCTCAGTTCTATATAGTGGATCATTCATTACAGATTGATAGGATTTTAAAATCGATTAGAAATGAAACCTCAAAGCAGTGTTCCAGAAAACAAAAAAATCTAGGACACCCTGTCATACAAACTCTCTTTCTCAATCATTCAGGATGGATGACATTCCCAGCTCTGTCTCAGCTCCTCCATAAGTCTCTCTCCTTTTATTTGAGCGGTAAGCACAAATAAAAATATCGCTCACTACTCTCATTACATCATCACAGAAAATGTCATTGGTAAATGTCTGGCATCTGATTAACCCCAATAAATAAATATTATAATCCTATCTCCATTAGATAAAAAGG